TCACTAGCCCCAGCCTGCTACATATTTTATAGTAAGCAAATTTAGTCTTTCAGATTAGCAAGCTATATATATATTTAGTGCTTTATTCTCAAACTGTTTCACCACAAATGACAGCTCATTTCACAAACAGCTTATCTTATGGCTAAAGATATATAAATACATACTAAAAATGCTGCTGAAAGTCTCAGAATGTATAATGCAGCCTGGTAGACATGGTAGTGATTGTAACACTGCATTGTAGACACAAATGTTAAAGAAACTTGGCAAGAAGCAACACATTTTAGCTACTCAAAATTCAGATTTTCTCAGACTTGTCCCCTTCTGATGAATGGAACATATGGGAGTATTGTTCATAAAACTTACATTGCTTTTCTTGATGTCTACCAAAATTCCTCATCATGAAAATATTTACCAAGATACATACAGATTCAAATTTGAATTAATTACCCAGAAGTTTTTCTGTGCTTCCAGGTTTGCTGGGAAAGAAAAACGCTTCAGAAGCAATGTGTTGTGAGCATTTAGCAGTAGATGTTTTAGCAGCAGAGGTAGCAGAGTGCTTGCTGGGGAAAGGAGCTACCCAGTTAAAAGCCATCACTGCTGAGTGAGATAAAAGACAGAGAAGAAAGCAACTGCTTTGCCAAGAAGCAGTTTGGAATCTGACATTGTAAACAAAACACATTTAGATCTAGACATAAATCCTCCTTATGCTGAAGGCTCAATAATATTTTAGCTAGCATGGTTACTTACAAACAGTTCCTGAAATACAGCATCAAAACTGCAGAACAGCCTTTAACCTTGTGTTCATCCACTCAAGAGCCATGTTATTTATTATCCTTTATCCCTTAATTATAGGGACTTCACCTACTGCTCTCTGCTCATTTGAAATGCAGAATAAAATACAATGGATGTCTAAAGACTTAACAGGTGTCAACCAGATATTTGCCAGCTACTGCTACTATTCTACTGGGAGGAGTTGCTGTTCTATAAATACTAATTAGAGTTTTGCACATGATCTTGCTGAAATACCTAAGGTGATGAGTGGCCAGTTGTTACTTTTAAAAGATTAGCACAATTTGAAAAACTAATGTCCCCAATGAGGCAATGCTCACACTGAATAATCAAGAGTTATAGCTGTTCTCTGCCCAAAGGGAATATTTGCTCACTTCATCATTTGGAAAATCTGCTGCCTCTCGAACAATTCACTCTTCTATTTAACTTTGAGAAACTTGTAAAACTTTGTGCAATCAATAAATTGGTACAGTATATGTACTTAGATGGTCTTCCACTGCTCTGCCCACATGGCAGGCTTTTCTAGAAACTACCTTTACTTTTAAAGAAAGAGCTCTTAGTGTGAAATCATGATTAAGAAACTGCAACCAAATAATGTACTTAAATCAAGCGGCAAAAAAAAATAAGATTACAGAATAAAGTCCATAAACACAGCAAAAATTCAATTTCCTCAAATCCATCTCACTTCAAATTCTTCACATTCACTAAACAGGAAAAATAGACACAGGCAAATCAGGACAGGTCTCTATGATACTGAGGTTTTATATTAAAAATTTATATATAGTAATTTTTCATTTTAAAATACCCTCCAATTCTCTAAAATCTTGGTGCAGTATAGCTGAAAAAGTTAATTTTAAGCAAAATGTTAAAGTGACATGGCTCATTTCCTTGGTTTCTAAAGAAATCTTGAGTTTTATCTTGTTCATTCTGCTATGGAATGCAACTGATGTCACAAGGTGTGACACAATGCTGTATTTCTATATGTGACCTGTGCTTCAATGCAGTGCAATTTGATTCAACTGATACAATCCCTTACTATTTAGTGTCCATGGCTATGTGTGGGAAAAACATATAGATCATTTCAATCAGGATTTTTTTCCAGGCTTTAATTTTTTTTTTTAAGAAATCTTTTTTCTTTACAGTGAAACCTATATTTTCCTTATCCCTCAAGGATATCCCTACTGCTTCCTCTTTTCCAGTAGCTCATTACTGGAAATGTTTGGCCTTGCTTCAAAAGAGAAGAATATGTCAACACCAGAACATCTGTGTCCACATGGAGTGCTTTGATGACAGTGATAGACTCCATTTACATCAGTAACACTGAGCTGAACCTTGATACTGTCTGCATTTAAAGATCTTACCCCACAGGGCAAGAGAATACAGGTCAAAAACGTTGATCTCTGTTTGACACACTCTCTACTTCAAGAGCACTTGGCAGCAATTTGTTCCAGAGTCAAGAATCAAACTCACAAAGTGTTGCAAAGCTCGGAGCCATGTTTGCATAACCACATTCAAAACAAATATTAAAATTCACAGTCTCTGGAGGCCAATCTACTTTTGATATGCAGGGGTTGGTGAGCAATACAGTAAAATTCTAGCCTGAATATAGGAGGAGTTTTCATTTAAATCAAAAAGCCATAACTTGGGCTTGAACATCTGTTATTAAGAGGGATAATGTATAATGTACCTATGCCTCTCAAATGCAAAAAGGAAAACAGGCACTTTATCATCTAAAATCAAAACTGACTATCTAAAAAGGGAGTGGAATAGCTATGTGTGACACAGAGCTGTGCCTATCAGTGTGGCCAGAGGAAGCTGGTTGAATTTTGGTACAGAACAAATGCCTCCACAGGCAGGCACAATAATAATTAATTCCCCAAATCTTTCATACAGAGGAATTCAGAGATGAAGTCTGAGCTACAGAGTATTTGTAGCCCATGGCTACTGGTAATCTTCCTTTTAACTGGATTTTAAAACATTTAGAGTTTCTTCAGCTTTTCATAGTTAATATATAATTTTCTAATTTAATTGCATTGTGTCCACTAAACTGCTAGGCTGACATAAACCCTAATATGAGGTGGAGAGTTCCAATAGTTTCCTTCCACACATTCCTTCCCCTCGTGTAGAGCTCAGCACTTTTGCAGCATTGAATGATCCATTATTGCTTACAAGACTAATAAATACAAAACATCAAACAGGAGCCAATCAATGCAGCTGGATATTGCCCTGCTCGTGTTCAAGGACCACAGCCACCTGTGTGCTGCAATAGCAGCTGCAAGTACTGGCAAATCCTATTTCAGCAAACAGAGAAAGAGAAAATTTTGTTTACAGGTTGCACTAGAATGCCATGGAAACAGATACAGAGGTAACTGTGAAAGGCGTAATCCAAATGGAAGACAGCCCTGATAGAGCTCATATATCCAAAAATAATATATATGTTTTCCCACTTGGCAAACACATGCATAAATACTATTAAAATCAAGACAGAAAATTATACTGAGTAGACCCCAATATCACTAAGGTCCCTGATAACAGTATGAATTAATGTGCACCTTCAAAGCAGAGCAAGATGTTTTTATATGCAGACTATTAGGAAAAAATAAAAATATCTTAATAGAATAATCATCTTTTTAAAGAAAAAAAATTACATCTTGAATTTTTGAAACAGGATTAAAATGTGGTAGTAGCCCTGTAAAAGGAAGCTGCTCAGCACCTGCTGCCTACACTGTGCCTGGCTTCAGGCAATGTTATTCATTCCTCACTTTCATGGGAGCAAAATGCATCCTCTAAAAATATAAAACACAAAAATAAATAGATCTCTGGGGAAATTGAAGAGAAATCTGTTTTAAAAATAGTGAAGGAGCCTGTAGTCTAAAAAAAATAAGTCCATTTTGCATTGTTTTGTAAGATTTACACTTTAATTTGAAACCAAAGTAAGGCATAAAATTTGTATGAAAGCAATATCTGATTTATAGATAAACTTAAAACACAATTCACTTAGCTGCAACTACCAGACCCCAGTGAGAGAAGCAAAAGATTTTGAAAGATGATTAAAATATGTTTGATAAATGTGGCCCTGAAATGCCCCAAAAGATTTTTCTGAAGTTAAATAGTAAACACAATTAACATGGCTTTTGCTACAAAAACACTAAATGCAATGGATTTTTTAAATTAATTTTCAATGTCATTACATGTTCCTATTGAGCTGGAATTGACTCAATCCACTAACTGTACTATGAGATAGTCTTCTTGTTCATATGACCTTATCTAGACAAAAAGCCAAATATCCATTCTGTTGGTCTTATGAAGAGGAAGCCACACAATGAGAACACTCTTATGACCACCATTTCCATCTTGTGAGTGGAAAATTTGTGACAGTTGAAGCATTTAAGAAAGATATATTCATAAAGCCCAGATAATGTCCAGCTTGATCAAATGTATTACTAATTAACCAATAAAAAGTAGCAGCTGGGAAGGCTGACAAGAATAACTTACTGTACACCTCTGGCCTAACCTCACTATCCATATTCAAACAAGTCTCCTGGCAAAGGCAAATCAAATAATTCTTGGGAGTCTTGCATGCATTCAGACTCACTAGATTTACATATTATTATTCACAGTAGATGTTTCATTACATTTACTTTGAGAAAATGAACAATCTATATGGGTATCCACATGTTTAATATGCACACGAGCTCCCATCTTGTACGTTTCATGTAGATGATGAGGTTGGTTGGCCTCCCTCTGCCTTAGACCGGGCACTGCTCATTCAGATGAGGTCAACTCACTTGGGAGAGCTCACATTCCTCCGCCAAACTCCAGACACCCCAAAATAGGCAGAACGATTCCAAGAAGCTTTTAAAAACCAGACCAACCCCAGTCCATGTCCCATAATATTTGCAGGGGTTCTTTTGGAGATTAATGCAGGCCAAAAATGGTACAATTGCTGTCCTAAGAACTGGACAGTCACTGAAAAACAATTTTCCCCAAGCCCTGACTGCTCAGTTTGCTCAAATGGACATCCCTTCAGTCACGGCACCTGAAACAAGGCACTACGAGGGGCCTCCAGAATCCACATTCACATCTGCTCCAAAGAGAACCTGTCCTCACAACACTGCTGTACAAGGCTCTCATACCCTCAGGTAAGAGTGCTCCTCAGCCATGGAGTCTTTGGTACAAAACCTCATTAATTCTTTGAGAGGATAACTCACCATTTTGGTCGGCTTGTGGATTTCACCATTGGAGCCATCCCATCTCTGTAGAGGCTTTTTGTTTTACTGAAGTTGACAACATTGAAAATTACTCTCTGGAGGGGAAAAAAAGGAAAAGAAAAGACATCAGGTATAAATTCTGAAAGACTTTCGACATGTGTTGTCTATACCAGATGCATAAAAATATACACAGATAACATATGCAATAGATGTGTACCTCATGAATTATTGTTATTCTCCATAGACTCAGATAATGTATATCCTGTCTGTTCCAGGTATTTAAAATGTCCAAGTTGTTTCACACTGCATTGATACATATGAAATATATGTTTTTAATTTAGCACACTGATTTTTCAGTAGGAATCCTAGCCAGAGGAAAAAAAAACTAGTCCAGTGTGCTGCAGTTAACATCACAGAGGTGGATGGAAAGCTGGGAGATGGGGTAATATTCCTTGTGAAAACCTTCTAACTGCTTCACAGAACCATAGGATAGAAATATAGAATTGCTGAAGCTGGAAAAGACTTCCAAGATCAAGTCCAACCATTAATTCAGCACTGTCAAGTGCTGTCCCTGAGCACCACATCCACATCCCTCTGGATTCTCTTCCTTTTCCCTGGAAAAAGGAAGAATTTTCCTTTGCAAAAAGTGTACAGGATACCTACACAGAAATTGCACATGGCCATGAGTTGTTTGAATATGATAGATAAGAAGAAAATATTCTAAATCTGATCTTAGTTTAAACTAAAAGTTTGGGGAAACTGAAGATGATATTTAATAGGTCAAGGGAAGAGTAGAATGTAGATTTTTAAGGGTAATGGACTGATACTGAAAGCAAATTAATACAGGGGAAAGACAAGAGAAAAGAGACAAAACCTTTTTCCTTACCATCTGTCTGCTTCAAGTCATTTCATACAAAATTACTTATTCTGTCTCTGTTAAGAAAGTCTAAATTGGATCTAGCTCATCTCATGGAGTACCCTGAGTTTTCAGATGGCAAATGCAGTACCCCTCATTTGTTGTACTCTTTTGATACCCAGTGTTGATGTACTCCAAGAAAACAAAATATGAAGTCTAAATTAGTTTCTATAAACAGTCCACAATATAGTGATAAATTCATTTTATATGAATCTCTTTACATTTGTTTTTTAAAGGTGGAAGTGAAGACAAACCACTAAAAATTATATTCATTCTTTTCTTTAAGAACTATTGTAATGTTGGCATCCTTCATAGTAATCCATGAGAAGCCTAAATACTGATTGATCACTGTTTAAAAATCTAACAATTTTTGACTAAAACAATAAGCTTTCATATGTAAAACTTTGCAAAAACAAATCTGGACCTTCCAGGCAGTCTGCTCAGGCAATAGGGAGTGAGAAGATTAAAGTGAAAGGAATGAGCAGTGGGACACAAAAAGGAATCAGGCACATTTATGCTTTCATATGGGGCAGGTAGGAAGCCAGGTAACTGCATAGCCCTAAGTGGCTCTGTACTCAAGAAAAATTAAACTAGTTTTTTTGAGATAAGGTATTGCTGAAGATTTTGTGAATGGGAGTACATACTTCTATGCTGCAAATTCTGCCAATCAGTAAAAGCAAAATCTAAAAATAACCTGTAGGTTTGACTAGAACTGACATGAAAAGCTAGCAAGTTGAGAAAATCACTTTTTTGAAGGTGGTAATTCAATTTTGCACCAAAGCCAGTAGGGAAACTACATATCCCTGCACAAGAGTTTTCCTATATTTTGAGATTTTCTAATGGTCATAAGATGAACTTATTTTTATAACTCTGTATAAAAGAATGCACTTAAATTTACAAAATTTTATGTTTGTAATTTTAAGTATTTAGGATATTGCTTATCAGATGAAATATCCACTTTGGGAGGTCTCTAGTTATTTTCCATCTTACATTTATAATGGATGGCTTTAAGTTAGAAAATGGTATTCAGGTCTATACATGCTTTATGCTTTACATGGAAACATTTCCCTCTATTAGAATGCTCAGATTTTCCTCTGTTACTTAACTCTGTTCACATTTTTGAAAACAAATTAAGTTGCAACAAATTGGTTTGTTAATCTTGATGTTTGCATGGAGTGAATGAAACAAACAAGATCTCCAAACCAATTGCCTTAAACTTTGGATGCAATCATGTCACTGTTGGAAAGGGAAAGTTGCTAATTTTGTTACATACTGACTCAGAGCAGACAGCTGGTAGAGAATGTTCTTATTCCAATCAAGCTTATTTTGTATAATGAGTTGGGCAAATGTACACAACTGGGTAAGCAATGTATATAAAAACAAAAATATGCAGCTCATTTAACAAAACACTGCCGATTATAGCGTTTCGAGCGCTCAGCAATGCGTGCAATTCCCCCAGCATGGCACCGAGAGAGATTGGCAGAACCAAAAATTTAACAGCACAGAGCAGAACTTTATCAACACACCACTGAAGTAATAAAGCACACAAACCAAAGCACTCAAATGAGCAGCTGAACTCCGTCAAGTATTCCTGGTGATGGTTAAAATAGTCCATGCAGCTCAGCCAGTGGAGTGTGCAAAAATGTAATGACTACAGGATACACACTGGATACACACGCTGGAAAAATATGCAGCTTGCTCAATAAGGTATGCAAACAGCTTTGAACTGAATGTTGTCATAAAAGGCTGTGATACAGCAATCAAAGTTTTGCTGAACAAATCTAATTTTTAGTCTAATTTCTGTCTATACTTATATCCTTTAACACGCCAGTTATGCAGTGTAAAGAGCAAAAGGACTAGAAACAAACTGAACATGTTAAAACACCTTTTTGAAAGAAAATTATCACTATTCTGAATTATTATACAAGTTATAGAGATGTACAAGATTGTCATCTTATAAGCAATATAACTGAGATACTCCAAAATGCATATTCAAGAATTTAAGAAATGTCAAGTTAAGGAAATAAAACTAGATTAAATGTACTTAAAATTCCCTAGAAATTGTTCTGGTCTCCACAGAATCAATACTAAGAAAAATTTTTACAATAAAAATACTTGTTGGGTATTTGGGAGTGTATGAATACCACTAAAAGAAACAATATTCAAACTGATGCTGTACCAGAAATTATAATTCTGTGCTCTCACTTCAGATTCTGGAAAAAATCTTAAATCTATTGCATTATTTTGACAAACTGATCTCCAATTTCTGGGTAGGTGGAAGAGGCATGGTGCAGAAAAGCCTCTCAGGACAGCACCGAGTCAAACCACGCTCCTGGGGATGCACCAGGATGTGTTGTGGCTTCACAGCATGAGGGAAGAAAACTGCTGCAGTCTCAGGCTCTGTGCTTGGGCAGCCAAATCTGAGACAGATTTTGGAGAACATGAGACAAGGCAGGCAAGTTCTGCCCACTGAGAGAAGAAGGAAGACGACCTCTTTCCATAACATGGGCAGTAAGTTTGAATTTGAAGGTATCTTGCTAACAAAACCATTGGGGCAGAAAACAAAGGAAAAGCTTGGTACCTCCTTTAGCCTTAAAATTTACACAGAAATTGAATTTATGTCTAGTTTTCCTTATAGTCCTTTGCAGACGTATTTCAAGAATTAAAAGCACAAACAGGTATTAAGGGATGCTTATTGTATTTAACACAAAAAAGACAAAGATGAACCATGAACAAAAAGAGGAAAGGTGGCTGAAATATGTAATGTTTTTTCTTATTGCCAGCAGTTTTCCTTCCTGGAGCTGGAAGGAGCTGCTGGTTATTTGGGGGGCAAGCACACAGCAGGGTGGTTTTGGTTTGAGCTGAAGGCACTGAGAGTGGTTGGTTATATTGAGCATCATATTCCAACAGGCTGGTGGGAGCACAGGGCTCACCCAGCTCCCAGTAGGTTTTCCAGCTGAAGCAGGTTTCCAAAAGAAAGTCACATCTTTGGCAAAGGTTCAGTGCCTTCCTCCAGGATAAGGATACATTAGGTCCCTTCAAAAAGGCTCCCAGGTTTATTTTGCATGGTTTTCCCTGGCTGGCTGCTCACAGAAATAAATGTGCAGCTCTGGCTGACATTAAAAGGGAAAAAGAAACAAACACACTATAGAACACCACAAAATTCTGCCTGAGGCAGACACCTGGCATGGAAAATTTTGTGTCAAATCATTACAAGTATAAGAAGTTTTAACTAACTGAAAATAGGGTTTGCAGTAGGAAGTGTCAGGCCTTCTTAATATTGATGTAACACACATACATTCAACATTTTAAATTATATAATATACTTAATATTAATAGCATAACAATTTCAATTCAGTGGACAATGCTGAATGCTGCCAGTATGAGATATCAAAACACCTGGGGACCAATTGTTTGAAGTCAGTCATAAACAATTTCTTCATTTAACCAGCCAAAATAAGACAGCTGGGCACTAAGTATTACTATTAAGACCTTTCAGCTGAAATTAAGTTGGAGCTTTTGTGCTTTGAATGAACATTAAAGATCCAAAGGTGGTGGATACCATGGGGTTCTGCCTCGCTTATGCTGATTGATCTTGCTTTCCTCTCCTGTAGATATTACAGTGTTTTGTGAATTCCTGAAACCTGCACCTTTTTTTGAGTTGGGTTCTTGCCTTGGCAAGATTCTTGATTATTCTTTCCTTTTTTTTTTTTTAACAGTAAAGATGTAAGTTTTCATCCATTTAAAGGGCAGATCTACTTCAGAAGAAGAGAAAGAGAAAAAAATACCAAAAAGAAAGAAAAATGAACCAAACTCATGACTTGTGAGGTTTTGAGACACCATTTATGACTATGAGAAAGTGGCAACACGGGATTGCTGCCTGCTCACCAAAAATACTGTAGCATTTCAGTATTTGAGTCAGATGGTCTTTAGGATCTTTTCTGACAAAGCACCTTATACAAAGCTGTACAAAAATAAATTACACTGGAGGGACTTCCAAATGGCAAGAAAAAAGTGTCACCTGCAACTGTTATCAATGTTGAAGAAAACAAATAATATAACAGTCAGGTTGGTGCAAAATCCCCAATGAGAACTTACAAATAGCGTTTTTCTGACCTTTTCAAATTTAAATCATTCATTACTGCTAACATTTTAAAATAAGCCATGCTTTTCTTTTCC